GACGGACACACACACACACACACACACACACACACACCTGTGCATCAATTTCATGCACAGGGCCTCTAATCAAATAATAAAATGATATCAGCTAACACAACAGTGGGCATCTGGTTTGAATGAATCAAAATTATACCTGCTTTCAGCCCTAGTTGGGTATTCCATTGTTTAGAGCATTCTCCTGATACACCAAAGTTGCCAATTTCATCTCAAATCAAGGTATATATAAGAATCAACCAATGAATCCATAAATAGATGGGACAGCAAAATTGATGCTTCTCTCTTCCTCTCTTTCCCCTTTTTCTAAAATCAATCAATAAATAAATTGTGTTGTCTACAAAATTATATCTGATTTTATGTCACACTAGAGGCCCAGTGCATGAATTCAGGCATGAGTAGGGTCCTGAGGGAGTGTGGGGGGCATGGTCAGCCTGCTGGGTGGGTGGTGGGACACCATTGCAGTCCTGGGATCTAGATCTGTCCCACTGACATTTGTGCTGCTTTTCCAGAGACACCTGGTGGCCACTTTTATAGTGTTTCTTCCTTGTGGAGCATATAGAGAGGGGAAGGGGCCGTGTTGCCCAAGGCTGTTCTAGGAGGCCAGCAGCACTGTCAGGATCCTGTGGGCGGTGCTAGTCCTTGATGCCTGGCCCATTCTCTGGAGATTGGACCTGCGGGACTACCAAGGGAGTGAGTGGCTGCCATCGGGCTTATGGACTGCCAGTATGTGTAGGTCAGCTAAGAAGTGCTTCCGCTATGAGAGCACACTGACCACCAGGTTGCAGCTCCTAGGTTGAGTGTCTGCCCCATGGTGGTTAGTGCATGTCATAGCGACTGGTCATTCCAGTAATTCTGGTTGTTCTGGTGGTTCTGTCACTTAGGCTTTTATAAAGATAGATAGATGATAGATAGATAGGCAAAAACATATGTTTTTTGGTGTGCCACAGAATTGTAGTAATTAATTTATGTTCCATAGCATGAAAAGGGTTGAAAATTACTACTCTAGATGATTGATTTGGATCTTTTAAAATATTTTCAATGTCCCTTATTAATGTTCTGAATATTTTCATTACCTTCTTATCTATAAGTTTATAGTGGTAACTATTTTAATGTCTTTATTAACTAATTAGAGTTATTTCTTGATTTGTTCCTATCACTTGATTGATTTGTCCTGCATCTTTTCATGTATGATAATTTTTGTAAATGATAAACATTTTTAATAGTGATCTAATTTTGTGCTAGATATTTTTACATTTCTATGAATATGCTTGAGGCTTATTCTCTGGTGCAATTAAGTTATTTGGTTTTAGTTTGATTTCTTAGGGTATATTTCAGTCAGGGTTCAACCAAAGAAGTAAAAGAACCATTAAGATGAAGAATGAGAAATATATAATATATATAGAATAGAAAGAATCGCCTTATTCCATTCCAGGACTAGCTAAGCAGTTTCTACAAAGCTATTGCTTCATTATTCTAATGCTAGAGCCCAAAATACACAGGATAGGCAGTCAGATGAAAGGCTTAGGTGTTGCCTGGAATGTCACAAGAATTCACTGAAATCCATTCTTTTCTTTGCCTTGGCCCTACTTGAGAAAGGTCTCCTGCATAAACTAATGCCCTTCATCCAACTAAACACACATATTCCTGGCTAAGGAGTCAGAGAAACTGAATGGAAATCCAGAGGGAAGAGTGAGCAACTGCAGGTCAGATGCAACTCTGTGTCAAGGAAATAAGTCAGCAGACCAGCAACAACTTGTGTGTCTGCAACCGAATGGCTGCTCCCATTTTTTTAGCTCTCCAACTCTCAGGAGAGAATTACCCACAGAGCCTATGCTAACATACTATTGATAGAAAGGGATTTCTGGGAAATGTTATAATTTGCAGACCAGCCTTAAGTCAAGTCAAAAGTTGTTTTGGAATTGGAACAATATCTTTCTGATTACTCCACTCAGTATGTTATCAATTCCATGTTCTTATGTTCTGGATGGTAGGAATACAAGTTATTCTTGTTTAAATGTTTTAGTTATTGATGTGAGAGAGAGAATGGGACAGTGGTTGGGAGGAAGGGATGAAGGGGGAGGAAGAAGGGGAGGGAGAGATTTATTGTCTCACTTTATACATTTATTGGCTGATTCTTGTATGTACCTGACAGTGGATTGAACCTGCAGCCTTGGCCACATCAGGGTGATGCTCTAACTAACTGAGTAACCCAGCCAGGGTGAACACAAATGATTAAAGTTGTAGAGCTCCAGAGATAGGTCACTCTCTCCACTCCAATAACATTGAGTAGTTTCTTCACACACAGGTACTGCTTAGTACTCAGCTGTAGGATCAAGGGAGCCATCCTCAGGTATCTGGAGCTCCTCCCCCAGTTTTCCCTTTAACCAGGCAGTCCTCTCCTCTCCAGTAGTCCTCCCCCCCTGAGATCTTTAGCTGCTTTGGCTCCCTGAAATCTTAACACAATTATCTCAACTCAGCCAGGCTTCTGCCTGGGTTTCCCCTTCCTGTGCTGTATCCTGGAAACTGTTCAGTGAGTGAGCGCTGCTGATTGCAGGGCTTGCCTTGTTTCTCTTTCTCTTTCTTTTCTTTTCTTTTATTTTATTTTTTAAAATATATTTTATTGATTTTGTACAGAGAGGAAGGAAGAGAGATAGAGAGTTAGAAACATCGATGAGAGAGAGTCATCGATCAGCTGCCTCTTGCACACCCCCTACTGGGGATATGCCCGCAACCAACGTACATGCCTTTGACCGGAATCGAACCCAGGACCTTTCAGTCCCCAAGCCGACGCTCTATCCATTGAGCCAAACCGGTTTCGGCTCTTTCTTTTATTTTGATTTTGTTTTATTGCTTACATATGAACTGCACAATAGATTTTTACATTTCAAAAAAAACTCACTTTATTACATTTATGACATTGCAATGAATAAGGCAAATAAGTTCCATTTTCAAACAGAAAGAATAGAAGGAATATTTGAGGAGGGAAGTTCACTGCTGGTGAAAGTGTGGCATTCCTGAAAATGAGAATGGGTTCAGAAGTATTAAAGGGTATGTGTGAGCACATGTGTGTGCATGCATTTGTGCGTGCAACAATGTGTGTATGTGCATGTTAGGCTAATTCTTAATTACAACAAAACTCTGAGCATTCAGAGACCACACAGTATATAGAAGGAACATTTACATGTTAACTATTCACTGTCAAGAAAATATGACATAAGCACCTGTCTACAGCAAAAAGAAAATGATGAACAGTTTATAAGAATTTTCAGTATCTACAAATATATGGCAGTGCAGTGCCTTCAACAAATCCTGCGCTCTCCACCGCAGGCGTGGCTACCAGGCAGCATGCTCCTCCACGCCCTGCAGGACCTCCTGGAAGGCACAGGCCAAAGGGCAGGCCTGCTTCTTGGGAATCATTGTTAACAAGACAAGCCCAATAACCAAGGGTCCACAGGAGTCTACTGTGCTTTAAAAACCAACAAAAATCCCCCACAGAACCCAACTCAACAGCTTACACACAGACCAGGAGAGAGGTGAAAACCATGAACCAAAGTGGTTGTCCTGCGTGTGCACTGACCACACAGAGACCCGGGATCCTGGGGAGCAGGAGTGCAGCTGAGCACATCTTCCTTTCTCAGACTCTTATGTGACACGTTTCCATACAGAAGCACACAGAGTTCATCTGAAAAGTGACATCTGAATGAATGGGTATTGTTTTTGCATGTCCCCTACTCTGACTTTCAAATGCACTGTCAAAATTTACTATTCTTATTTAAAAATACAGAAAAAGAAAAAGAAAAATTAAAAAAGACAAATTTTGGCTTATTAAATGGCGCTGCATTTTAGCTGATCAAGAGGCAAATACAGCAACAGCTTCAATAAGATCATGACCCCCAGGGTGACCGCACTGTTACACAGAAAACAAGGGTTTCTTCATGGGCATGAACTAAAGTGTCCAGGACATGTGAGTGTCATTTTATAGATTTAAATGACTACAACCTTTTGCAAGGTGTTTCAAGATGCCATACTTTGGTTTATATACTGAAAAAAATTTCGAACATGAAGTGTCTACTCTGTTTCTTAAACATTTACACAACTTCTTAAGTAGCATTTTTGCTTTAGTTTTTGGCTATCTGCAAAAGCAAAAATGTGAATATATTCAAGTCCTGGGGCTGCTGAATGCTCTGGCTTTTATCCCTGTGTTTCAAATGTTGCAACAGGCATCCCTTCATTCTTTTACTGTGATTGTGAGATAGATTTTCTTCCACTTGTTAATGGTAGTGACATATCCTATATAATAAAAGGGTAATGTGCACATAGACCAAATGGCAGAACGACTGGTTGCTTTGACATGCACTGACCACCAGGGGGAAGATGCTCAATGTGGAAGCTGCCCCCTGGTGGTCAGTGCGCCCCCACAGTGGGAGTGCCACTCAGCCAGAATCTGTGTTGATGGCTGATAAGCGCAGTGGTGGTGGCAGGAGCTTCTCCTGTCTCCATAGCAGCACTAAGGATGTCTGTCTGTTGGGCCTAAGCAGTCAGTTGGACATCCCCTGAGGGCTCTTGGACTGTGAAAGGATACAGGCCAGGCTGAGGGAACCCCCTCTCTGAGTGCATGAATGTCATGTACCAGGTTTCTAGTGTTGAATAATATTCCTAGACTATGACCCTAAAATCAATCACTGTATTTTAAAGTCTCCGTTCCTTGTAATACTGTATTTTCTGCTGAGAGTTTGAACATTCTACTTGAGAAGCTTAGAGCTTGGTCTCGGGATACTGAACTGTGCAATATTTTTTACATCATAAGATGTATTAGTTTACAGATAATGCTTTGAAATTATATTATAGTAGTATTTTGCTGTGGCTTGATTACTTATATATAATAATTATACGTATATAATAGAAATACATTTAAAACAGCTACTAGTTTGCCTGCGAAGAATGTGTATTTTGATTTTTATTAAGAGCACATTAATTTGAATTCTTATGTTGTTCATTATTTTTAATGCTCATAGTCAGAAAATTCCTAAAACATACTTTTAATTTTCAGGATTTGAACTATAGCTTGTATTCATTTGTGTTTAGGGTTTGTTATCTATCTACCTACCTGTCTATCTACCTATCTATCTATAAAAGGCTAATATGCAAAGTATCCCCTCAGGAGTTTGACTGGGAGTTCAATCGCTCACTATAACGTGTGCTGACCATCAGAGGGTGGTACGAATAAAGGGAGGCCTGAGCTGGCAGCCAGAAGTCAGGGAAGGAAGGCCCCAGTCTGTAGCTGGAAGGCCCTGATTGGCCCTGATCACTGGCCAGGCCTAGGACCTTACCTGTGTATGAATTTTGTGCACTCGTCCTCTAGTATATTATATTGAAAGGATGCCTACAGTTGTAGTAATCAAGTATGCTAAGGATCTTCATTGTAAGCTTCTTTCAGTTTAAGCCATGAGTCGGAAAACTCATTAGTCAACAGAGCCAAATATCAACAGTACAACGATTGAAATTTCTTTTGAGAACCAAATTTTTTAAACTTAAACTTCTTCTAATGCCACTTCTTCAAAATAGACTCACTCAGGCCATGGTATTTTGTGGAAGAGCCACACTCAAGGGGCCAAAAAGCCACATGTGGCTCGGGAGCCGCAGTTTGTCAACCATGGGTTTAAGCCATCAGGAAGATATGTACTGACTCTATTCACCTGCTGACAGACCATAATGTCTTCTAAAAGCCACAGACATTTCAGTGATTCCATTTTCTCTTAGTCTAAAAATTTCCCTTAGTCTGATGTCAAAAAAGAATTGATTTATCATTGTTAGCAGTGGAAAAATCACTGCTGACAATGATAAATCAATTCTTTTTTTTAATATATATTTTATTGATTTTTTCCAGAGAGGAAGAGAGAGGGACAGAGAGTAAGAAACATCGATGAGAGAGAGTCATCAATCAGCTGCCTCTTGCACGCTCCCTACTAGGGAGTGTCCCCTCAACCAAGGTACATGCCCTTGACAGGAATCAAACCTGGGACCTTTCAGTCTGCAGGCCAATGCTCTATCCACTGAGCCAAACGGGTTTTGGTCCTTTTTTTTTTTTTTTTTTTTTTTTTTTTTTAATATATTTTATTGATATTTTACCGAGAGGAGGAAGGGAGATCTAGAAACGTCAATGAGAGAGAAACATCGACCAGCTGTCTCTTGCACACCCCCTATTGGGGATGTGCCCGCAACCAATGTACATGCCCTTGACCGGAATCAAACCTGGGACCTTTCAGTCCGCAGACCGATGCTCTACCACTGAGCCAAACCGGTTTCGGCAATCAATTCTTTATATATCTCCTTTTTGCTTTGTTATTCATCCAGTTTTTTTTAATAATTAAAATATTTTCAAAATATAAATCTAAAAGTGTTGTGAGTTTTTGAGACTTCAACTCACAGAATGTGAGAATATATTTGCAAATCATATATCTGAAAAGAAACTTATATCCAAAATGAATAAAAAAAACTCTATGACTTAGAATGTTTTTAGAATAATTAGTACATTTCTAGAGTTACCCTAAAAATCATAGAAAACTTGTCCATTATGCACATTCAGCTTTTAAACTTTTTTCCTTTTTATTGATTATATTAGAGTGACACTGGTTAACAAATTATACAGCTTTAGGGTGCACAATTCTACAACACATCATTTGTAATTTAAAAAGGTGCTGCAACAATTATTCTTCTGACTCTGGGCTTTATATACTGTATGCAAAATGATATGAGATGGTGTAGGCTTAAATATGCATTTTTGATACCCCAAATTAGATGAGTATTGAAGGTTCACTGCACAAAGTGCTTGCTCTTTAGAAGGGTAACATCGGATAATAGATGAGCAAATGCACAACTCACAAAGAGGTGGGAAAGACACGTCTGGATTCTAGAGTTTTATAACATGTGTGCTAGGGAGGTCCCTTAGCTCCTTTGAGTATAAATAATAACTATAAAATTATTGTGATTTGTACCTTGTCTGACTTACAAGCTGTTGTGGAAAGTGAATAAAACAGGGGCTATGAATTCAATTTATTAACAGAAGAATATGAAAACATATGTAATATATTCATTCAGGAAACTGAGCTTTCCAGAATCACATTTCACTTAAGTAGGATGATTTTTGTTTTCAGTAAGCTAAGAGCATTGGGGATAGGATGTTCTCTCATATAGTATTTTTGTTTGGGGATAGAACTTGATAAAAGTCCATTTCTTCCAGACTAGGTGGTTTACAAAAATTAAATATTCATATTTATACAAACATTAAATAGTGATATACTTGCCTATTTTAAACTTCCAATAACATTACCCTCACAGCTTTTGAAGAGGGCCTATTAACTAGTTTTGCTTTGGAGCCATTTGGAGCCAGGGATTAGCTGTGAGGAAAACCTGGACACATGCCTATATCCTGAGAAAGCAGCAGGAGTAAAAATATGGATTGGTGCCTTTCCCCAAAGACAAAGGTGTCAATCTGATAATGGTGGATAGAAAAAAAAAAATCAAAACTTTGCTTTCTTAGTTTGTTTTGGATTGTGTGGTATATAGCCCAACATATCTTGTTATGGAATGAGTATTTTTTTTCATGCTGAGTACTATGACTCAAATCTCATAAGGCAGATATATAATAACATGACATGCTTCTCAATATCTTTGATCCCATTTGATAAAAAACTCAATCTTCAATTTCCCACATTTCTAATAAAAATGCAGCTGCTTCTGCACCAGAGATTCAGAATTCTGAAAGATCAGGCAGCTGGGAAAAAGCTCTCTAGCAGACTCACTGCTATATCCGTGCTCTGAGAAAGAGAATGTTTGAAAGCAGCAGGGCTTACCTGGGTTACCTCAGTTCAATAACTTAGAAAAGTACTTAAGTAAGAACTAAGACTTTAGCTCGGGCTACATTTTGAAAAGGTATTTTTCTCCTTTAACATCTTCTTTGATTTAATATTTCTACTTACATTCTCAACTATGTTTGTAAATAGTATATACAGCTGGTTAAGAGTTCTGAGTTCTTGGTGTCAACAAACATCGTCCATAACTAGGCTCTGCCAACCATTAAGTTAGATATTTTAGACTAAGACTTGATTTCTAATGGTGGAAAATAAAAACAGCTACCTCAGAGAATTCATGAAATTGAAATCATGTTTGTAAAGTACTTAGTACAGTTTGATGCATGGTATGGATTGAAGTACATCGTTGATCAATGTCATACGTAATCATTATATAACTATGTAATTAATATTAATTTTAAAAATACAGTATTCTGGGATCAGTTGTGGGTGGCAATAGCAAAGACATTTTATGTATTGTTAGGTGTATGAAGGATTATAGTGAATCTTTTGGGCACTACTGATTGGATAGGGTGAATGAAGAAAATGATTTTTACCATTTGAGTCTTTATAGAGAATGTTGCACTATTAAAAAGATGGTGTCATTAGACAAGGATTTGTCCTAGTTTTTATAATGACCCACATATTCTTCACAATGTTTTCAGATTATTTCTAAGGTTTTCATCTAGACAAAAATTCTGGTCTATTTTGTTCAGGTATGATCCTCTATTCCTACTTTTCTTCGAGTTTTTATTGTATCAATTGATGATATGATTACTATGTGATTTTTGTCTCTCAGTTTTTTTAAGTGATATATCATGTTTATTGATTTGTGGATATTGTGCAAGCCTTGCATCCCAGGAATAACTCCCTCTTGGTCCTGGTGTATGATCTTTCTAATGTAATGCTGGATCTGATTTGTTATAATTTTGTTGAGGGTTTTAGCATCTATGTTCATAAGAGATATTGACCTGTATGACAAACCTACTACCAACATCATACTCAATGGGAAAAAACTAAAACCATTTCCCCTAAGAAAAGGAACAAGACAGGGATGCCCACTTTCACCACTCTAGTTTGACATAGTACTGGAAGTGCTAGCCATAGCGATCAGACAAGAAGAAATAAAAGGCATCCAAATTAGAAAAGAAGAAGTAAAATTGTCATTATTTGCAGATGATATGATATTGTGCATAGACCCAAGCCATTATGCTTAATTAATAGGCAATAAAATAGCAGACATTTGTCATAATGGTATCTTTACTGATACAGCTCCTAGGGCAATGGAAACTAAAGAGAAAATTAACAAATGGGACTACATCAAACTAAAAAGCTTCTGCACAGCACAAGAAACAATCAACAAAACAATGAGAAACCCACTGTATGGGAGCACATATTTGCCAATGTTATCTCTGATAAGGGTTTAATGTCCAAAATGTATAGGAAACTCATACAACTAAACAAAAGGAAGATAAACATCCAATAAAAAATTGACAAAGAACCTAAATAAATACTTTTTGAAAGAAGACATACAGAAGGCCAAAAGACACATGAAAACATGCTCAAAATCACTAAATCTAAACAACAATGAGGTGCTACCTCACATCTGTCAGAATGGCTATCATCAAGAAATCAACAAACAATAAGTGCTGGAGAGGATGTGGAGAAAAAGGAACCCTCTTGCACTGCTGGTGGGAATGCAGACTGGTGCAGCCACTGTGGAAAACAGAATGGCATTTCCTCAAAAAATTAAAAATGGAATTCCCATTTGACCTGGTAATCCCACTTCTAGGAATATATCCCAAGAAAACAGAAACATCAGTAAGAAAGGATATATACACCCCTATGTTCATAACAGCACAACTTACAATAGCTAAGATTTGGAAATAGCCTAAGTGCCCATCAGCAGACAAGTGGACTTAGAAAACTGTGGTACATCTACACAGCAGAATACCAAGCTGCTGTAAAGAAGAAGGAATTTTTACCATTTGCAACAGCATGGATGGAACTGGAGCGCATTATGCTAAGCAAAATAAGCCAGTCAGAGAAAGATAAAATATCACATGATCTCACTCATATGTGGGATTTAATGAACAATGTAAACTGAGGAACAAAAAGAGAACCAGAGTCATAGATGCATTAAACATACTGTCCAACCTATGAGGGAAGGTGGAGAGTAAGGGATTAAACGATCGACCAAAGGATTTGTATGCATGCAAAGGAGCATAACCAATGGGCACAGACAGGGGGTGGGGTGTACAGAAAGAGGTCAATGAGGGGAAAGAAGGAGACTTATGTAATACTTTAAACAATAAAGAATTTAAATTAAAAAAAAAATAGAGAGGAACTATAATAATAGCAAAAAAAATTCTGATCTACATTATAAAGAATAATTTTTCATTTTAGACAATATACTTAAATTGACACTTCGGTTTATTTGTTGTTGTTGTTGTTGATGTTTTAGTTGCAGTTGATAATACTGTCCTCTATTTTTCAGTTTTTAAATTATTGGAGAGCAATGAGTCAACATTTTCTTAAGGTAAAGAACCTAAAATTCAGGAAGCCATTTTTTATGATGTTTCTAACAAAAAAACAATTATTAAATTTATTCACAACCATTAAGAATTTTTGTGAATCCTGTTTGTGTATATGTGTATATACATATTTGACATATCACAAGTAGAATAACATGTAAATACTAGTGTAGTTTCATTGAAAATTAATTATTTTATTGGATTATTAGGTAACATGCTTAAATTAAAATTTTGATTTATTTTTATTTGTCTTATTTAGTTTTCTTTTTTCTGAAGTATTGTTTCATTTATTTTGGAACTTCCTAACTTAATTTAACTTAACTTCTATAAATCACATTTTTCACTATTTCATGTCTTATATCGGGATATATTTTGGGAACTTTGCTGTATGTACTCTTTGGTTCATTTTGAGATGAAGCAGGAAATTATGACATTTTTCCAAAAATGAAAATAGGCTGTTTATTAAGAGATGTCCAAATAACTCAAAATTCATATGTGTTAGCTATATATAATAATATATTGAATATACATTGTAAATCTTAAAATTAATAAAAACTGCTGGTCATAAAAGCTTAAAAACAAAATGTTTTAAGTTTGTTTTCCAAGTGTCCCAAAACATTAGTTATGGATTAAACAATATCTGTTTTAAAAGATTGTAACATAACCCAGCCTTAGCTCTCCATCCTCTGTAGAGTGTAAGAGGCTGATATCTTTCTCTCCAGTTCCATCCATACTGTTGCAAATGGTAAGAATTCCTTATTCTTTACAGCAGTGTAGTATTCTACGCCAAATATATATAACTTTTGGCTAACTTTCTTCATAAGCATTGCATTTTAACACATAAAAATATATTATATTTCCTCTGAAGACAGTATTTATTTTAAATATTTGTTTAAGTCTTTGAACACTAGAACTCCTTGAACATTTTGTACTGTCAGTAATTGTTAACTCTCTTAAACTTATTCTTTGCCTAAAATAAGAGAACAAGCAGCATCCATTTTTATGATTACATATTTCCTGTCATTCCCATCCCTAATTTCACAATAACAGAGTAAAATTCATTGGTAACATTTTACAAACTGTGGCTGGTTTTTTTTTGTCTGTTTTTGTTTGTGTTTTTTTCTTAAGAGAAACTGTATCTAAATCCCAATTATACACATTGTTCTAGCAACAAAATGTCATGGAGTTCATGAGCATCTGAATTAGATACAGTACACATCAAACTATCACACAGAAAGTACGTTAGAGATATTCCTACACAAAGGCCAAGTTTGTGACTACATAATTGTCTGGTGGTTACGTAGAAAATTTTCAAGTGTTTAGGAAATTGCAATGAGAAAGGAGATAGGGCTCCTGGCGGCAGACAGAGATGAGTGGCCCTCCCATACCCTAGCTGTATTTTAGGGTAGTTTGTTCTTTGAGACTTAAAATTGTGGAGTGGGACTCAGGGAAGTGAAGTAGAGTACACTCACAGCCAGGTGGCATCTGTCCTGAGCTGTATCTCCCTCCACTCCAATCTGAATACTAGTTATACTTTGCTTTTTGTAGTGTGGGATCCATCCCGCCATTATTGCAGCAGTTACCAAAAAAGGGAAACCTCACTAGTTTCTGTGTTCCTATGATTTCTCCAAGATCTATTTTTGAAGCATTTTTATATATTTTTATTTTAAATATATTTTTTATTATTGGTAGTATTACAAATATCTCCCATTTCCTCCCCCTCCTCCCAGCCCCTACCTACTCCTCCACCCAGGTCTTCACTACCCAATTGTCTATGTTCATGGGTTACTTTTAACTTTGTTCTTACATTAAATATATTTTTGGACAATTTCATTCATTTTAAATTCTTCAAATATATTTCCCCCTCCAATATCTCTTCTTAACGCCATAAAAATATAGCCAAGACCAGATTGTCTGTCTCTAATAGGGTCTTCCATAGGCACTAAA